TTAAATATGTTGGCTTTGTCGTCTGGTGTGACAGCCAGATTCCCCGTCTTGTCCTGCAAGGGCCCCACAGTTCCTGGGGCCTTCTTTCTACTCCCCATGTGTTTAAAAAAGGACTTCTTGTTGTCCTTAATCCGGGAAGCCAGCCCCTGTTCCATCTCTGCCTTGGCCTTCCTAACAATCCCCCTACACCCCTGAGCAACTGCAGAATAGTCCTCCTTAGTGATGACCCCTCCTTTCAGGCAGACTATTACCCTCTAACCTACTGCAGCGAGGCTTTGGCTCCTGAGCCATGCACCATAGTACAGTGACATATAAAAAGAGATTTTAAATGACCACAAATAGTGAAGAGATCAGCTTTCTTTCTCATCTCAATAAAGGCATACAGACAGTGCTTTTAACTCGTGAGCCACTGGTTCAGTGCTGACTCAGAAGGAAGATTGTTTTCTATAGCTTTATGTGGATAATTGCCACTTGATGTGTTGCCAATTTCCATGATTCTACCATGAGTCTCAGGACACTAATTCAGTCCCTAGTTAAGCAATTGAAGTTGGATTTGGGAGACTGCATGAGAATCCCAGCCTTCATTTTAAAAAAGGCAGTGCAGATGCATTATTAAAAAAAAAATCTAGAGGTTTTTTAGAGTCAGTCTCATGATACTTGGGTCTGGCAATATTGCATTTGAGTTTTCTTTTTAAGCTTCCTAACCACACATTGATGTGGGTTAGCTCTGCTCAGCTTGTGGGCTGTGACGAGATCAGAGGCCTAGTGGCAGGCCAACATGAAATATATCTTGTAAAAACAATTTCAAAATTACTAGGAACAGATGGTCTTGCTACTTAGAGCTGATGCTAACAGTTGTACATTACAGTGAAAATCATGGTTCAAATTTCAAGTCTTCCCAGGTGTTTAGTAGCAAAATGGTAGGACTGGTGCAGCACGTTTTTAGGAAACCTATGATAGTCATAAATGATGTATTTTGCTTTTGAAAAGAGTGGGCAGGACAGACAAGAAACACATGCTAAAGGCACCATGGGTAACGCATCAGTTTTACATGCAGGTTGTCAGACAGAGGCTATGCAGGTGTCTGCAGCTTCTTCCTGCGTACTTTCTCCCTGAACTGGTGTTAGACTTTTAGTGAAAACACCAAAAGCAAGGATCAGGGAGAAGATAAGTAGCACATGCATACTCTTTCATCTCCTGAAAACAAAATCAATCAAAGAAATAAGGTCTGTGTGTCTGGAGCTTTGGGTAAGTCAAGGGGTGAAAAAAGATATAAAAGCAAATAAAAATATGGTATAACTGAGGAGAAAATATATGGTATAGCAGCAGATTAATACCTGAGAGTTTAGTATTAGGACTGTAAGAGTAGTAAATTGTAAAGCTCAATGGAAATAAATTTCCCCTCTGCCCCAACTGTTGAAGAAGACTTGATCAAGTTAACCTGAGCCCTATGGTCAAGTCTGATGTGTTGTTTAAGAATTCTGTTTTATTGTTGTTACCAAACTCCAGAAATATGGAAAAGTTCAAGACCGTGTTTTCCTAAGGCTCCCTTATGTCTCCTCTCTTCCCTTTTCTCAGATTCTGTACTCAGCAGTATTCTTCTACAATACAGTTCAAGCCATTTTCACTTTCAAAGGTGCCAATAACTTCTGTGCAGCTACATCCCTGCCTCATTTTCTCTAGTACACATGCTGTATTTCTGTCCCCACTGCTCTGTGTGAAAAGGCATTGCACAAAACCATTGGAAGAAACACTGTGTGTGTGCTGTGTGTGGATGGCATATTGGATTCTTGTGAACCGCCCATGACTCAAACCAGTGGAAAGTGGGGACACAGCATTCAGTGAATGATGCAATTTCCATGTGCAAACAGGCACTTTTATCGAACCTGGTACAAAGCCTAACTTTTGGGCACCTTGCTGTCTAGTAAAATCCAAGAGCCCAAGTTAGGTACTGAGGTTCCTTATGAAATGCAGAAAGAGACTTAGATTCCTAAGAACTGGATCGATAAAAACCAGGACAACGGGGTGGTTTGGCCAGTAGGTAATGCCAAGAGCACGGGTATGTCTTCAACACTTGGAACTGACAATCCTAAATCCTCTATTTGACTTTTGCAAGAACAAGGCTAGTTTTTTTGCCTAACAGCTGCAGGAAGAGGTGCTGCCATACTGCCTGCCTCTTTAGCATCTATACCTAGATCAGTCAGTAGATGGCACTGAATGTGGGAGACCTGTTTAAATTTGCTGCCTAAGGGAATTCAAAGCTGCGTTTTCTGTGTGTGTGCTCTGCTCACCAGGCTGAAGAAGGGGGGCAGTAAGTTCCTCTTGTTGAAAATGTACCACTCCGAATGGATTAATAAACTGCTGAGAGAACATGAATCCCTGTCTTAGTGACAATTGCACTTATCTGGAAGGGTGTTGACCTAGAGTCCAGTCTCTGTTGCAGGTGTAAGGATTACTAAGTATTCATTGGAGGGAGCAGAGACTTGAACCCAGGTTTCCACTCCAAAGGGTGACTGTCCTAACCTCTAGGCTGCATGCTTTTGTCCTGCTCAAATGAATATTTTGATATTCTAGTCCAAGTGGACTACCAGAGGAGGAACTAAAAGAGCTCTACCTTTGAATACACTGAAGCCTGTTCACCAGAGTATTCACCCAGGAGGTGTGAAATCTGGGTTTGTCTCCTCAGGCAGAGGAGGCAATTGAACTTGGGTCTCCCACCCTCTAGTGAGGTTATTTTAACCACTGGAATATATGGTAAAGGAAAGGCAGCACTGCATCCTCTTCCCCCCCTGCTGTGCCAGTGGGATGGCTCTGAGAGTGCCTAGTAGTCAGCCCCACAAAGGAGAAAGATGGGGATGGCTGAGCTCTGCGGTGGGGGGCTGTCTTCTGCTGTCAACACCAAAGTGCTTCTGAGCATGCTTGGAAGCAAAACTTTAGGTGCCTCAGGAAATTTTGTTTGAAAAGTCAGATTCCTTGGGATCCTCCAAGGTGAAGCAACTGTAAAGCAGAGATTTTGAATCTCAGGTTTAGACGTAAGCACCTACAGTAGTAGGTAGGCAACACCTTATTTAAGTCCCTTTATGGACCTAGCTGGAAATTCTGGTTTGCCTGGATGATTTTAGTCTACTCAGTTTTGGCAGAAAACTGAAGTATTATATCTGTTCTGTTTTCTAGCTTGATCTAGCAATGATCGAACAGCTTTGTATTGGGGAAGTACTCCTAAGCCCCTGCTCACAACAACTCCACGATGGAAGGGATGTTGTCGGAGTCCAGAGTGCAACGTTACAGTCACAGTGCTAGCATGTCTTGTGTGTAACAGTACCAAGATGATTGTGTCAAAAGATGGTTGCTCTCTGGGGCGCAGAAATGAGCAAGTCAGACTGCCATTTCATTCTATTAGTGTCCCCAGTTTTCTTCTTAGTGCCTGATCCTGCTCCCAAATAGGATTGAGTCCCCAGTGCAATGCACTTTGTCTTCTCTCATCCCTGGCTGAGTGTTTTCCTCTCTGCTTTGAAAAGTTTTCCTATATGTTCTACTTCAAATCTCTTCTGAAAACCTAGCTGGATTGCAAGCAATAGCTTCTGCATCTCATGCTGTAGCTCTACTGGTCTGATTTCATGCTTGTGTACCTCACAGGAAAGACTTTCCTCTTTTATTGTTCATTTTGTGCAGCTGTTTTTAAAAGCTGTTAGACACAATATGTATTTATGGCACTCTTATCAGTTTTTAAAGCAAAACATAATAGGCACTGCAAAGAAGGGAATATTAGTGTTGGAAAGTAAGGTAGCCAGTTGCATGCAGCTTCAGTGCCATCTACTGACTGATCCAGGGACATCCACTGTTACTAGGAAGTTGTTCTCTTATCTTCTAAAAGGAAAAAATCCCTACATTAAAATTGTCAGGTTTGTTGTTTCATAGGCTGCTTTGTTTCCTTGGCTCTGAAAATGGCTCTTTAACCTGCTTAATCTTATCCAACACACTCCCTCTATTGTGTTATAATTTTTAAAGAGCAAAATGAATACTCTTTATTTGCAAAAATTGATCATTTTTAAACTGGTAAAAAATAATTTAAATCAGTAGAAGAAAAATAAAGACTCTTAGTAATGGCTACCTTGGGTAAATTCAGTTAGGGATGCAAGACAGTTATTACTTTAATTAGTTTATAGGTGTAGTTGAACAATACATTGTTTTTCTATGAAAAGACAGTGATGTTGGTCCTGTAACTTCTAACTTGTCATGTCTTAAAAAGGGCACCACAGATATCAACAGGTTAGAGAAAGTTGTCCTGTCTCCAGTTTTGATCATTAAGTCTAGATCCAGAGCATATGGAAGTCAGTGGGAGTGTTTCAGGTGGTTTCAGTAAGATCAAGCTCAAGCCCATTAATGGTTTTCCCAGGAGAGGCATGGTCTGGCAAGACCCTGATCTCTTCTTATGAGATACTGAGCGCTGGGCTTGTCATGGGAACGTGTCGAGTTTAAAGCGCCATTTTTTTTTTTTTAACATCTGCAAGCAGCCTTTATAAATGTTGACGGGTCTAAAGTCCTCTTTGTTTTACTGGGAAGGGGGTTGTCCCTTTTATATTCTCTATTTTTAAATACCTTTATCTACTCTACACCACTGCCACACTACATGCATCCTGCTTTGTGGGAAGGAATCTCTTTCTTACATACATTTTCTTCTGATCATCAAGAACTCTGCTCAGGTAACCAAACTAATGATACGGGCAAAGGAAGAACAGTGACAAACATTACATCCTGCAAAGTGGAAATGCAGACTCCGGCGTTAATTTTACAATGTGTTGAATTTTATCTGTGAGCTTGTTTCCCTGCTCACAAGTAAAAGGTTTCTTTGTGATACAAGCTCTTTTGTGTTATGTATGCATTTAATGCCTGCCAGAGACACAGATTTGTTTCTGCATTTGATTGACAGATTGAATGCCTATACTATAGAGCAGCTGTGTCTAGGACTTGAACATTTTCTTTTTATGCTCCTTGTCTAGATGCCAAAATGAACCTGGATGATTTTATCAGTATGGATCCCAATGTGGGATGGGGCTCTGTGTTTCTGCTACCTGACTTTGTGAATCATTTTAGTAGACGAAAGGACACAAAAGGACAGTGACCTCAGTAAATGACCTCTCTTAGCACACATTTTTTTGGTATTGTTGCTTTTGTTGTTTTATTTATAAGTTTGTGGTTTATTTGCAAGGGTTATTAATGTATTGGCATATACAAGAATTGGAACAAAGTATAATGAATTGAATAAAATCTCTTTATTTTGATTATAGAACAAGAGTTGAAGCTTACATAATGGATCAAACCAAAATCAATTCTATATCTGTATGACTCCATAAGTATATCATTACTGTCTTCTATCCTTCAAGTGCCCAAAACTGTGCTAAATATTTAAACCAACAGATTACTTAAAGAAACCTTTTAGAAAGTACATTTTATAAACTACCAAACAGTGTAGTTGGACTTGCTGAATTACTGTCACACTATTTTAGAGGAAATGCATGGGATACTTGCTTTAAGTGATAATTAACCATTATTGAAATGTTCTGATTATAAGTTGGTTTTCTGTTTCTTAGAGGACTGTGGCATCCTGGTTGAGAATCACTAGTCTGGAAGGCCTAAGTGCCTAACTCTGGGTTTTGGTTTGTGAATCCTAACTTGTGAATCTACTCTGGGTGCCAGAAAGTCTAATTTGTAGGCTCTTAAAACCCTTTTTAGATCTGGTTCATCATTATAACGCTTAACTTTTGGGTACTAACCTCTAGGCTAGAATCCACAGTACTGAGGGAGGTACCCCACCTCCCTATATAACACATGCAAAGAGTAAGGTGCTTAAGATTTGTGGATTCTGCAAATCAACATTAGATAACACAGTAATCTTTGGTTCCCAGAGCAGAGCACAGAAAGCCTGACTCCATAGATCAGTGGTTAAGCAACTTTCCAAGGTCATGGGAGAATCAAATTCTAGTTCAAGCTCCAATTAATATTTGCTTAGAGTGGAACACTTGTGCTGAGCCCCAGAATTCCTGATAGCTCAGGGTTATGAAACTTTTGGGGTATGTGTGAAACCTGGCTTCAATTCCTTGATCCCAAATAGATGGAGGTGGGCTTCAGGCTAGGTAACAGCTCTAATCAATGCAGTATTAGCAAAAAAAGGCAGCTCTTCCCTCTTCAGATGTTTGGTGTCAGGCATGTTCCAAGATTGCCTGCCAGGTCAGGCAGGATCAGTGGAGGGCCATCCAGTTTGTTAAGGCCACTTCAGTGTAGCAGTGTCAGGATTTGCCTGGTTGTGAGCATGTCCTTGAGCAGAACTTCAGATGCCTTGAGAACTGTCTAATTGAAAACTTGGGGCATTTTTACACGTGCTCTGGGATGCAGCGCCAGATGCTTTAATTAGCTAGCTGAGCTAATTAAAAGCGCCCATGCCTCTCATGTATTAGTGTCCCTGTATGTCCCAAATGGCAGTGGGGCCTTTTGAACTGAAGCTCATTGAACCCATTTTATTTCGAAGTGCCCTGCTTTTCAGTGCAGAGACCCCTGGGGACACTGATACATGTGACAGAGAAGGCTGCTGCAAAGCATCAATCTCTATGCTCCAGCAGACTCGATTAATTGAATCTGCTCTGGCACGCTGGATTTCATGTGTATAGGAGCCCTTGATGCCTAGAAAAGTTTAGGTACCATCACAGTTAGGAGCAGCAGAGCAGGGTATTTGAGGATCTACATATTAGATTTGGGAGCTTACTGTGGCAGTTAGGCACCTAAGTTCCTTTCTGGAGCTAGCCCTAAGTAGATACCAATGTGTGTTCATGGGAGTTAATTAACTTGCATAAGTGCTTTGATGACCTGGGGCCATAAACTGGTATAGCACATTACACACCTGTATGCTGTATTCCAACTTATGTGCTGTCTACGCCATTTATACTTTGTCATTTCATCCATCTGGTTTGTCATTTCATCCATATGGTTAATTGGCCCCCAGTCCTACAACTTGCTCCTATGTGGAGCCACCTTGACTTCATCAAGACCCTGAGCAGTAAAAGGATTTTCGTGCATGGATTCAATTGCAGAATCTGGGCTTTAGATGTGAGAACAATTGAGATTTTACTCCAAATATACAGATTACAACCCTGAATCTAAGACAACCCCCCAATAGTTAGAATCTCTACATGAAAAATTTATAAATTTGTTACATTTTCCTATGTATAGAATCTAATTATTG